ATCTCTGCGGGAAGAGCTTGAGAAGCTAGTCATTCTTGACTACATTATGCGAAATACAGATCGTGGTCTGGACAATTGGATGATCAAGGTTGACTGGGAGACAGGCAAGGCCTCGATAGCATCAGACCCCATCCAAATGAACATGGAACCCGTCGCAGAGGAAGAGGGCCCTCGACCTGTTGATCTTTCACAACAAGGGCCTCGTGCTACGAGGGCGTCATATCCTTATAAGACCCAGAGACCTATGAGCGCCTCAAGCCGACAGCCAGCAGGAAACGAGCCAGCAATTACCATTGGAGCTATTGACAACTCACTGTCATGGCCCTGGAAACACCCCGATGCCTGGAGAAGGTAAGTACATATATCAACGCTGTGAGAGGTATGCTAATTTGTGTTCTCAGTTTCCCCTTTGGCTGGCTTTTCCTCCCCGTCGACCTTATCGGAAGGCCATTTTCTCAAAAGACACGGGATCACTTTTTACCATTGCTGACTTCCACATCATGGTGGACTCAGACGATCCTCGCTCTCAAGAGGGTGTTCCAGATGGATGTTGATTTCCAGGAACGCATGTTTGCTAAGCAAGTCGCCGTAATGAAGGGCCAGGCCTGGAACGTCGTTGAGACACTCAAGACTCCTGATCATGGCCCTCTTGAACTGACCCGCCGAGCGAGAGTTTGCGTCTGGGATGATCTAGTTGACGTGCCTGTTGCTGTTCCTATGCGTAATACGTCCTCGGAAGTCCGCCGCAACCCCCACGTCCGTCAATCCATGGATGAGGCCGACATTGCTAGTTCGGCTCCGACCAGTAATCCTCCAATCGAGGACCTTCTCGGTCTGGCCAGTGCACCCGCCGATATGCCTCATCCAGGTAGATTCGAGCTCTCATCTCCGACAGGCGAGACTGCTCAGTCACCAGATGAGATTCCCTCAACCGAACCCAACCTCCTGGCACCAGCGGGGCAGCAACAAAACGGAGGGGACATAGGCAAGCGTCCCACGGTCCAGGCAGCTGGGTTTAGGAACAGCTACCAGGGTCCCGTTCGTGCACTCAACATGTACGAACCAGCACGTCAGCAGGCACCGCGCCAGCAACGAAGATATTCATTTGCCAACGCTGCTGCCCGTCGTAACAGTAACACCATCGCACAGCAGTATTATGGCGATAATGAGAACTACACCGATGATCTAGAAGGTGACCTCGGATATGCTGCAGCTGAGGGGCAGATGGGCAACCAACGCAAGGTCATTGTTGAGCGGCTCGAAGCCGTCAAGAGTAGGAATCCCGTCTTTACCTGCTGGTAGAGGCCTCAACCTTGGCCGCAGTATTTCTTTGCTTTTGATTTGAACGGCTGTCTGTCCTCAGAAACTGCAGGCATTGGATACACTATCTCTGCCAAGGTCTCAGCAGTCACGTCACCTCACAGTGTGGCCTTCCCAATATGACATTACGTGGGGTTGCATCCCTTATTAAGGCCACCTTAATCTTATAAATCCAGGGGTAACCTGTTGGATCCGTGCAGTTACTCTCTTGGCCAATATGCAGCTTGTTCGAATATTTGGTTGAGCGTTACTGGTTCGGGATTTATGTGCATGATGCTGGTCACCGGGAGGTTTCTTCCAGAGACACAATGGTCCTTTTGGAACACTTGTCTCACTGCAAGCCTGTGTACCATCGCTACGAAAAGAGAAAACAGGCCGCCCAGGTTTGCAAGCAAGCCACAGAATCCAATCTGACTTGCATGAGGAGAACTCGAAAACCAAGCGAGGATGTGCGCGAGCAGAGCGGGGTCAAGAGCTGACATGTCATTGCTGTACAGTATGGTTGAAAGGCCGTGGTACGGAATTTGCTGTGCTTATCCTGGTACAGTATTCGGTGGTGTCTTGGTGTTTTGGGCTACAGAAGCCATATGGGTTATGATGATAAAATTTAGATGTCGTTATGATAGCCCACCGCAAAATAGAAGGATATGGATAAAGGCTATAGACGAGCCCATTCATTTTTTGGGCATCATGCTGTAGCATCTATGGCTGAGTTCATAGATACTGTTGGCATTTCGGGTCTTCCAGAATGCCAGACATACTGTGTTATCTTTGCTGGGGAATAAAAACCGAACGGTGTGGTAAATCCCAAGGATTAGCGGAACAGTGCCCGTATAACCACGCCCACCAATTTCCCGGGTTTCTGGTCAGAACCCGAGAGTCTGGGTCGGTAAACCATGGCTTGAGCATGGTTCCCCTGTCTTCGTAGTATCAGCCGTAGCGCATAAGCGTTCTACTATCGGTTAGTTGGCAATAGTGATTCAGACAAAGTGCTCCCAGAGCTGAATTCTGTTTGCTCTGCAATCTTGCATGTTGGTGTTCTGCCCAATCCACCATGCCCTGTATTGGAACAGGCCGCGGATAAGTTTATCCGAGTAATGGAGCTATCATATGAGGCCGCACCACGTAGTCAGAAAAGTAACAGTCAGTTGGCGATCCTCCTTTGGCGTGCAGCCTGGCAGCCTTTTGGATTCGGCGTTATATTATGTTTATCCCCCCACAGACTCCATGATGGCGGCCCGTAGCGGCTGTTAAAAGGCTGCGTGTGGGTAAGGTAGCCACTGGACCCTCCGAAGCTGTGTGTGACAGTTAGGACGTTGGATCTTGCGAGATGTCACTTGCGACATTTGGAACATGCTATTGATGCCGGGGCAAAGGACGGGGCAAAGGACGGCTTTTGGCAAGATTTTCAATTTGCTGCCGCCTTCCTTTCGGAAGCACCCAACGTGATCTCTGGTGCGGTCATGGGACAGGCGGATCGTTACTTACAAGTTATCGCAACCTCGCAAACCGTGGACACTTCCCATTCGTTGGTAGGGTTTCTCGTCGTCTCCGTATCCACAAGATCATTTGTGAGACTTAATCATTGTGAGCCTATGACCGGATCAAGTAAGCTCTCCCAGGTTACCCCTGTTAACATAAAGATGCGGCAATAGGGACCATTGATTGTCACCATCGAGCTCCTTTCTCTGCGTGTCATGAGCTGACAGAGAGCTTTGGCTCGTCACCACCTGCAGCGTTACCACCTGCAACGGCCCGTCAATGTGTACATCGACACTAGTAGAGGTACGACGTTGGGCGAGTAGCATTCTTTCGTCACATTTTTCGTTAACAGGTCCTTTCAAAAATCGATGGTCGTATGATGTTAATAGTGAAGCCCAGAGAGTGAATTAGCCGAAGGGGGGTAGCAAATGCACGCCAGCCGCGAGAACCCATCCCATGCAACTTAGCGGCCCATCACCAGCATATATGCGGCCATGAGACCTCCCTTTTACACGCCTCTGCCACTAGAAATCTTCTGAACATGGGCTTTGCATAAAACACTGCTGGATACACGAGGCGGTGAAGAGATGAATCGGTCTGAGAACTATTGCTGTTTGGCTTTAAAAGATCCCGGTGTAGTTGAGGTGGATCATAGCCAGTCGCCAGTATCGTTGAGACCCGTCGAAGGTTGCCTTTTGGCGATAGGGAAGTGCTCTGACTGGGCTCCTTAGTCGCTTGCGTCGCAATCCTGGCGCAACCACACTATCGTTGGTAAAAAGGGGCCAGGACCAGATAGTGAGGGTGATTCGCCTGACTCGCCTATACATATAATCGACGAATTCCCCAGTCAAGCAAGTATTGTCGGCCACCGTTGCCGTACGTGAGCTCCGAAGATACCAAGTCGTATAAGAGGACAGTCATTAGGGTGACCCGTATCCCGAAGACTGTCCCAGGTCCATGCCATCGGTATTGACATGGATTGTCATTGGGCTTGCCCCTACGAGCCTTCATTGTGAAACCATGATCTTACTTTGTTCACCAAAAACGCTGTTACACATGTGACAAACTGTGTATCCTCTTTGTCTAGCTGATGATCACTACCGACGTTGGGTAGGACAGCCTCACTATCGATGTCAAACGGTTCGTAGTCATTGGGCGCCACCTTCCGTGGCAGGCACATAGTCTCAAGCCATCCACGGAGTCTGCAAAGTCCCGACAACCGGGTGCCTGAGCGTGATGGTGGGAAGGATTCCATCCAACACAAAATGGATGCATTGGTTGGTTCTGACGGGGTAAGGCGAGAATGAGACTCTCCACCAGACGCTGCACCTGTACGGAGCAGAGTTGACTGCAATCATGTCTAATAACATGCCGCAAACCATTCTCTCCACTTCGAGTGGAACCTGTCTCGTCGACCGAAGCATGGGGCCATGGATGGGAAAAGGTTGCTAATGAGGCAATCAAGGGCATCCAAACCAGTGGTTTCCATTTTGCCCGTCGATGGCTGCTTTGGTGACCAATGTCTAAGTGAGAGTGTCAGGAATCTGTGAATCTCAAGTTCAGAACCTTTCGAGCTCCCTGTCTAGCATTCATCAATAGCCAAAAGAGCCAGCCTCTAACCTATACCAAGGTGTTGATGCCTTGCCTGAATCTCCGCGTCATCTTGCCATATTCCATAGGATACTGCGGTTGTGAAATAGCCCCTGGTGATATGTTCGCTGTTATTCTTCCGTACTGGGGCCAATATGAGTTGATGAACGACAGAGCCCTGGGGTGTCAAGATCGGCATTGGACCTTTAGGAAGCAGTCCTTTGCCGGCCCGTGTCTCGGCTCTCTGCTAGATCATCTCCGCATTCTTCGAGAAGCCCTGTTGCGCGTTTGAATGGTACGCAAGGCCGCTAGATGCAAAAGCCACCATAGTCATGTTACGTCTTTGCACTCTGCATCCTAGCACCAGGGTGGCTCTTATACGTTAGGCTAAGGTCGCGCTTTTGGGTACCACATGTCTTCCCTAGGAATTGTTTAAATCCTTTTTGGAAAAGGCAGCGCTGCTTGTCTTGGCTATTGTCGTCCGAGCAAGCTTGCATCATATCTGGAGTATTGAGAGGCATTTCGTGTCCGAAATTTCGACCATAAAGAAAATGGATGCAGAGTAAGACTACCAAAGTTTCTTGATATGGAAGTTTCGCTAAGCCCCCATGCAAAGGGATGGAACCGTGCCCTTGGACGAGACGTTCACCGAGACAATCGAACACTATGGGCGCTCTTATCAGCATTACTCCCTCACGAATGGGACATATTTTGCCCCCATCGATGAGGTAAGTTGATGATCTCTATCCAGGATCGAAGTGGTTGACAGAAGGTAACAAAAGTCACTGAACTAGGACGAAATCTCGCGCCTCGAGGTGATGCACGGAGTTCTCAGCAGGCTCTTTGATGGGAGGCTCATATTCCCCCCTATCAGGTCGCCACGACGAATACTCGATTGCGGTTGTGGTCCAGGAGATTGGGCTATCGAAGTTGCCACACAATATCCTGACGCCGAAGTGAGTTTCCCCTACGGCATTGGCAAGTCTCCCCTTCAAGGGGCAATGTTTGTAGGCCATCCGAGTCAGGCGAAATTCGATACACCATGTTCCATCATAGAGCTTGAGGCATCTGGATCCTGTAGGCTCTTATGGCCCCATCCTCGAGTCTCGAGGAGGTGATTTTGGATATAGCCATGGCCAACGGGGCCAGCCTGACTCGATTCCTAAACCCTCAAGATAAGGATCTTGGATGAGATATTTTGTGGCTAAGTCTTTTGCACAGGTCCTCGGCATCGATGTCAGTCCGCACATGATTCCAGAAAACCCTCCCGACAATATGGAGCTCCAAGTTGACGACCTCAACGGGAGGTAAGTAGCTGCAAGAAAGTCTTGTGATCGTTGCTAACCTGGATCTGGGATAGGTTTACATTTCGATCCAACCACTTTGACGTTGTCCATAGCCAAATGGTCGCCGGAGGTATCCACGCGAATCGCTGGCGAAGCTATATTCGAGACATTTTCCGTGTATTGAAGCCAGGCGGGTGGTGTCAGATGGTCGAGATATACTTTAACGCCCAATCTGATAATGGTACGCTAAGTAGAGGTGATTTTCCCAGTCTCCTGATCACAGAAACCTCTGCATCCTAACAATTGTGCTGAGTAGATCACGCCCTGTCGCAATGGTCCAGACAATACTTGGAAAGTCAGCAGCCATACAAAGATCCACGGGCACCACTTCAATTGGCCAGCTGGATGAGAAGTGCAGGTTTTACGGAAGTCGAGTCGAGACTCTTGACGTTGCCAATGTGCGGCTGGTCGAGTGGTAGGTTTGATGCCAGATCCTATGTGTTGAGGCTGATGGTGGTGTAGTCCCCCGGGATTATGACATAGGTCGATCCAATACCGATAACGTGAACCAGCTATTGTATTCGCTAGCATTATACCCGTTCACACAGTTTCTTGGGTATGCCGGTTGCGATCTGTTCCAGTAACGTTTGGCTGAGCCTTGTACAGGATGTCTTTCAGTGATTTCCAACTCTTGATAGCTCAAGCGAGGAGCGAAGCCAGCAACCCAGCATTCAAGGTACGTTTTCTCTATCCTCGACTCAAAAAGGGGCGAATCCTGATGTGATTTGGTTGTTAACGATTTGTAGGCCTACTTCCCCGTGTAAGTTTCTCTAGGCCATCCTATGGTCTGCGTTATTCTGACAGATGCCATCGCAGTTATGTTTGCATTGGTAGAAAGCCACGACGGTAACCGCCATCAAGTCTCAATTCGAGCCATTGAGGCATTCCTTGGTCAATCGCGAGATATTATGCGGCGGGGGGGTTCTGATTGTCAAGTTTTACGGCGTCCCAAAGGCGTTCGTGCTGCGGTTGAGCGCCCACGATGGGATGGAAGGATAGTAAATGGTATGTGTAAAGGGGAGATGGAACAAGATGCCATTACTCGACCTTGTAGTTGAAACAAGGTTTTGTTGGCTGGACAGGGAAGCGGCAGTGGCGCACCATCAAGTGGATAATAGAGGAAGGTTGGAGGAAAATCTTGAGATTCGTTACCGAACATGGCAAGCATGTTCTAGCTTGGGTTGGGCATGAAGGAGGCAACATGGAATGGATGGAAAGAGAAGTGACGTGCAGGTGGTCGGACTTAAGGCAAGAAAGGCAAGAACAGGAGAAAGAGAGAAAGAGAACCGCTAGCAACACCCATGAAGTGGCTGCTCGTCCCTTGTTATGGTTTCCAGGGAATGATTCGTAATGACTGGTGGATGGACACTCGGTACCGACAGTTTGGGCCCGATGTGTAAGAGAGTTATTACCAGCGGCCGCAACAGGTCCGAGACCTCACAATATCGAGATGTGCATGACATAGGGGGACGGCTAAGGAGAGACGGTGTGTGGAAGAGACATGTTGGTGACATCTCAGAAGTCATACTACCTACTCACGACAAGATTGATACGATAATCTAGTCCAGCATCTATAAAATCACCCTTCCCCTTCTATACAAACAACCCTGGCTCATTGTCTCGGGCCCGACTACCCATGAGTTCATCTCCTCATCTCCACCAACGACGCGACCCGGGAATGAGATCTCGTTCCAGTTTCAGGGAAGAGAACGGTTAGCAATGGAACCATAACCCTGGCCTTACCGTCCGTCACCTGAGTTTCGACCGCCTCTCGAGCCCAGAGACAGCTGAAATGTTTCGAAACAGAATAGTCGATCTGCATCTACGACACACAACGTTCGAGCCGCCTCCTGGTCTGTTCCTTGGCCGGTGAAGCTAGTGCGCTCCTACAGCACCTAGCGGAATGCAATATCAACGGGATCATCCCCGATCCTTGCTAAGGCAGTAGGCGAGCGGGTGCACCAATGATCAGGTGATTTAGCGTTGCCGAGATCATGTTGGACGATGTCGATTGAGAGAAGAGAGAGAACAATATCATGGTGTTGATACTTGGGGGTTAACTATTCGTCACTGAAATGATATCATGCCTGGTCCTTTCTGTTTGAGATAATGCCCCTCCATCTCAAAGTGGAGGTCCATGATGCGTGGCCAGCTAGCAGCTCTACTGCCGATCACGTTGAGAAATCAACAAGCTTCGCCAGAAGCAATCTTTCTACGAAACTTACCGAGATGGCTCTCAACTGTCATCCCATCATAACATCTCCGACAGCCTGGTCGTGCAGCCCCCAGATTCGTACGCGAAGGTTGGCAGTCTGGGGACCCTGGTAGCTTGGGCTGCTGTTCCTTCACTGGGCCTCCACTAAGAATTGCTGGAGCTCGTCACACCGCCAATCAAAGTTGCCAATTGCATGCTTGGGAAATTTTGACCTGTCGTTCGACATCAGCTTAAGCTTTACGGTAGCAACACCAAACCACGAGCCGCGATCGTCATATCGAGTCACAAAACAGTCTCTACACCGATAATCCCGATCCTGCTACTATCCCTTCACAATGTCGGCCAAACAATCGATGCAACTATTCCGGGCTCTGCGCACGTCCCAACCTACGCTTCGTCAGCCCATCAGCCGAGTCTCTGTCTGCCGATTCTACGCAACATCTACAGAAGATGCACCCCCTCCTCTGCTGTCCAAGCTCAAGGGCGATCTCAAGACCGCCATGCGAGCTAAGGATACTCCTCGCCTAACCGTTCTACGAGCTATCATGTCCGCCAACCTCAACGCTTCCAAGACCTCAACTCCCATCAAGACAGATGTCCAGCTCGTCGCTTTGATCCGCAAGATCCAAAAGAGCTCTCAAGATGCTGCCGCTGAGGCCAAGGCTGCCAACCGTGAAGATCTTGTTCAAAAGGAGGAGGATCAGATCAAGGTGCTGGACGAGTACCTCGCCAACAGCGGAGTCGAGAGCTTGACAGAGGCTCAGCTCAAGGCCATGGTGCAGAATGCTGTTGAGGCTTCAAAAGCTGCTGGCACCCAAGCCAAGTCCATCATGGGTGATGTCATGAAGAGGTTGTCCGGGGCTCTTGAGGGCAAGGATGTCGACAGAAAGGAGTTGGCCAAGATGGTCAAGGAGCTCACTGGCTAAAGCGTTGGATGCATATCTAAATGCATGGTGTAAAATATGTATACTATAGTGTGGACTGGCATTACGATTGTCATGGAATCAATGAAATACCTACTCTTGCGCGCGAATATATGAGCTTCAGCCTCCTCAAATTGGTCAAGCGACCCCACCCGCAGCAAACAATAGGAATAGTCTGGTGTAAGTGACTCACGACCCTACTATATCTTCCCTGCAACTGCACCTTTGCCTTCTCTCCATTGTATCTTCATTATTATCTCATCATCAATAGCATTTGCCTCAACTGCAATGACCTCCCGTCAAAACATCAGCTCTGGCTCTGCCTTTGAAGAGCTCATCGGATATTCACGAGCTGTCGTGACTGGTGATTGGGTTTTTGTCAGCGGCACTACTGGGTGAGCAATTCTACTCTTACTGAGAATTCGAAACCAGCTAAATGTTACAGCTATGACTATAAGACTGGAGAGATATCGTCAGATGTTGCCGAACAGGCCGACCAGACCATGACCAACATCGCTGCTGCATTGAAAGATGCCGGTGCTTCGGTCTCTGATGTTGTTCGTGTTCACTACATCCTCCCTGACCGCGATGACTTTCCAAAGACCTGGCCAGTGTTGAAGAAGTGGTTTGGCGATGTTCGTCCTGCTGCAACTATGATCCAGTCCTCATTGATGAAGGAGGAGATGAAGATTGAGATTGAAGTTACTGCCAGAATTGGCTGTGGTGATAAGAAGGATTAGATACTTTACTGCGGTACTTCTGGGTCTCCGCGTTCATGAATAGATAGTCCCAGGTCACTTCACAAGATAACCATATATCTTTTATTTCCGACCCAATCTAATGAAACAATGGAGCAACCAAGCTTCCAGCAGCAAACGCCGTGCTCATAGTGACAAGACTTGATGTCGACATCAACGATAAACCACTAACGCCATGTCCGGAGGGACATCCTCCTGCTAATCTTGATCCTACAATCATCAAAAATCCACCAACTCCAGCAAGCAACGGCTCTGTCTCAACGACATGGCCCTTGACGAATGAAGGGAGCACTTTTGCAAGAACCCAAGCACCACTTGTCATGCCCACAGCGAACAAGGTGTTCTGTCGACTTGTTGGCCAAGGGGCGTCTCGCGTGAGCCACCAAAAGTGATTTCCGACTTCTTCATACGAACCCGAGATGCCGATCATGGAGCGACGGACAAGGATCGAGAAGAGCTGTGAGAGACCGATGAAGAGACCACCACCAGCAGAGTAGAGTGACCAGTCGGAGCCAGTAGTGTATGCAACAGAAGCTCCAATGATAGATAGGCAGACAGATTCGAACAGAGCAACAGTTGTATCGTTGGAAAGTCCGAGGTTCTCATCGAGAGTTACTGTCTCGGGCTGTACACCTGCCTTTTCCCTCTGAGTCTTGGCTGCTTGCGCGACATAACCTGTATAGGCGAGACCTCCAAGAATAGCACCTCCGAGAGTATAGAAACCAGTCCTTAGACCCGCTCCAACTTGTGCGAACAGAGTACCTGGACAGGACCCTGAAAGAGCCATGCCAGCTCCAAGGAGAAATCCGCCTATGACGTTACCGTCATACTGTCCAAAGAGTCCAATCGGTGATGAACTTCTGGGCTTAAGCTTAACGTAGCCGTATCTCTCGGCAATTTTGTAAATGATACTTTCAGAATGTTAGCTTCTTCTTCTTCTTCTTGTCGTCGTGTAGAGGGTGACTGCGTACGCGCTGCTTGCAACCGCACCAAGAGAGGTTTGCAGCATATGCCAATCCTGGAACTTGAATTGATTGATGATTGTTGAGGGCAAGTAGACGCCAGCAGCTATCGTAGAGGCGCCATAGACGGCGCCTGAGAATAGTGCAGCCATGTGAGAATTTCAGCGACGTTTAGCTGGTGGTTCGAATAACGTTGGTGTTGTATATGTTAGTTTGATATGAGTATCATGCCGGTTTTCGGAGCGGCGTTGGTAAGCATCTATAGAATTACGGTTGCGTAGTGCGTGCAGCAATGCAACACTTCAAGCAAACAAGCTTCAATTTATATTCTTACTATGATATAATCTTCCATGTGAAGCTTATGAGTATAATCATTCTGGCGATGTTTATTTGCTATATCAATTGAGGAATTGTATCGAAACAAGAATATTCCATCGTTAGCGCCAATGTTAGCGAGGTTGACGCCATTCAAAGTCAGGCAGTCTTATATGAGATACCCAAGTCGTGAATGACCGCCTGCATGAACAAGACTATTCCTCCTCACGAATACAATACATCTCTTAGAGTTAATATCTATTTCCATGTGAATATACATGTATATTTACTAATATATGAAGAAGAATCACAAAGTCTAGCAGAATATGTACTGTGCAGGGCATAATTCACATGTATATACGTCTAGGGTATATTGTTGCTAACATCACTTGCTTACTAGCAAACAATTACTGCGTGTCTCTTCTAATGGGTCGAAACTATGTTCTCATTGTTTTGATCTTTCATTGAAAAAGGGGGTAAGCCGTTTCATTTTGATACATTTTTTGAGAGCGAGAAACTTGCCTATAATGTTGTGTCCATCAATTCATATCTCCACACTCAGTCTATCACACGACGTCATCAAATATCATGAATCTTTGATAAGAGGATCCTTGAGTACTTAACTACCTTAGATAGAACCCCCGGGAAGAAATGCTAGCCGTATTTCACATTATTAATCAAATCCCCGATTAGACGTCAAAGCTCTGGTACCGTTCAGATCGGCCGTATATAGTTGCTTCTTTAGGTGCATCTTAATGCCGAGGTCTACGATGCGGGGCCAACGGCCATGAGATATCTACGTTGTTCTAACTGGCAAGCTTCAACAAGTCTGCGCCCAATAGCCGAGATCGAACCTTTTTCGAACCGCTGTAACCGAAGGGACTATATATCCATCAGAAATACTCAGACTTCAGCAATTGGTCACATCACAGCCGCAATCATGCCTCGAGCTCTCACCCTACAGCAGATCGAAGGCGCAAAGCCTGGAAAGGTCTATTATCCGTCAGAACAATTTCCTCCACATGTCAAGAGTCAATTGCTAATATAATATACAGACTTCAAGTTAAACAAGTACCAAAGCCAACTCCAGGCCCCAATGAGGTCCTTGTCAACCTCTCCGCGGCGGCACTTAACCACCGCGATCTTTTTATGCGCCGCCATCTCTACCCAGCCATTTCCTTCACCAACCCAATTCTAGCAGATGGCTACGGCACTGTGGTCGCTCTAGGAAGCAATGTCACCCGCAAGAACCTCCTCAACAAACCAGTCATCCTCACCCCCATGCGTGGTTGGGAATCAGACCCTGCTGCACCAGAAGATAGCCGCAAGTTTGCAGTCACAGGTGGTTCCAAACTCACCGAGGCCGGCACTGCTCAGGACTACATTGTAGTCTCAGAGGAGGAAGTCGAGCCTGCGCCTCATCACCTCACACCCGCTGAGGGAGCAGCTCTGCCTCTTGTTGGTGTCACAGGCTGGCGTGCGTTTGTGACAAAGAGCAATGCTGCTTTCCCTGGCTCAAACATTCTTATCACAGGCATTGGTGGCGGTGTTGCGCTCCAGGTCCTCCAGTTCGGTGTAGCAATGGGCTGCAACGTATTCGTCACATCCGGCGATGAAGCCAAGATTACAAAGGCCAAAGAGATGGGCGCAAAAGGTGGAGTTATTTACAGGAACGAAGCCTGGGACAAGGAGCTTCGAGCACAGCTACCAGCCAATAGGCCATATCTCGATGCTGTAATCGACGGTGCAGGCGGTGAGATCGTGGCCAAGACTGTACGACTACTCAAGGCTGGCGGTGTAATTGTGCAGTACGGCATGACCGTGTCTCCCAAGATGGATTGGCTGATGGCCGCGAATCTGCAGAATATCGAGCTCAAGGGTTCAACGATGGGCTCCCGCAAGGAGTTCCGGGATATGGTTGCCTTTGTGAACGAAAAGAAGATTCGACCTGTTATCAGCAGAACGATTAGGGGGCTGGATAATCTCCAAGGAATTGACGGCCTGTTCCAAGACATGGATCAGGGGAAGCAGTTTGGTAAGCTGGTAATCGAGTGGGATTCAGGAAGCGAGTCACCCTCAAAACTCTAGATCTCATAATCCACAAGGCAAATGCAACGCCTCTTCACGAATTCAGACCCAGAAATTGAAAGCACATTTCTTTCTAGCTATTAATCCTTAAATAGAGACATGAAGAACGCCGAGATTTTCAGGGTATCAAACACTTCTTGCAAGAGCTTGTACGTGAGATTGAAACAACTCACACCAGTTGCCCATCCACACAATATGGTGCTCTCCCTGTTTATTCTTCCGTCTTCTTGCGCTTTTTCTTGGGACGTCCCTCTTCCGGTGGAACAAACTCGGCCTCTCGCTCCTTCGCCTTCTCCTCCTTTCGCTTGCTCTGGTTCTCCTTGCGCTCCTCGTGTAAGGCACGCTTCTTGTCGCCCTTGGCCAAGAAGTACTCGCCAGTCTCGATCTGCTTGTCCACCTTGCTCTTTTCGGGAGCTGGAGGGAATGGTGTGTATGTCTTCTTTGCCTTGTCGGTAACCTTGTGGGGAACACGTCTGTGGCTGAGAGTCCTCTTTTTAAAGTTGGGAAGGAAACGATCCCAGCTCTCGTTGGCGAGCTCGGGATCCTTTGCAAGCTCTTGCTTTATCATAAGTTCCTGTGACTGGGTTAGCTGGCCACGTTGCTTTCATGACTGACCTCGGGGGGAAATAATACACCACCCTTGACGAGTTTGGCTTACACCAAAATTCGCTGGAGATCCACCAGTTTGGGAGGTGTGCTTTATTCCCACCCTTAGGGGGGCAATTTCTCACCTTGATACTATATATGGGATGGAGGTTTGCCATGCAGTCTTCCACGATTCTTCGAATTTCCTTGAGGCCCTTGTACGGACCCATCACGGAGACCGTGTTTCCATGGACCAGGATGTATGTTTCTGTGAGCAATTCAAGCGCCTTGAGAGTCGAACCGTTGGGCCCGAGGATTCTTTGTCTTCGCTTTACGAAGCGATCACGGCTTCCGACCAAGTTGCGTATCTTGATCACATCACAAGCAACACCGTCTTCGAGGATCTTGATAGCTTGGGGGGCGGGGACGGATCGAGCCAGAAGTTTGATGAGATCGCGTGCGTTGAGAATGGCGGCGGGATCAAACGTTTTTCGAGTTGTTCGTACTTCCATAGACCCTTCCACCAAATCGAGCTTACAAGCGATTCCGTGCTTTTCAAGGGCTCGGGTGACCAGAGGCCATGCCTCCTTGAGGTAAACTTCGCGGTATTTGGGGAACAACGTCATAAAAGAGGACTCTTCGAGGAATGTGCCGCCAACGTTGTCCTTGGGAGTGAAGGTGTCGACCTTCCATTTGTCAATGTCATCCGTGTCCCACGGTTTCGGTTTTTCTGCTTCATGTAAGCATCATACTTAACCAAAATTGGGGATGTATGTTGGATAATGCCTTACTGTGAGTTGAGGGCATTGTGCTGTGGCTGTACTAAGCTTCTTCTACGGAGAGAGATTCAAGATTGCTGTTGAGCTCTTCTGGAGAGAGAGGCTGAAGGTTGGTGTTGAGGCTGTTCAGGCGAGAGTGGCTGGAAATTATTGCTAAATCCCTTTTGGCCAAGGTGAATAAATATTGGGTGCGAGCTCAATATCCCTTCCTCACATGCGCATTCCGTTGTGGTTGTGCTGAGTGCCTTCTGATGAAGAAGGTTGAAGTTTGGCGCTCGAGATTTTTTTTGATGGATGGAAAGGCTAGAAAGGTTTCCGTACAGGTACCTAGGTACCTACTAAGGGAATGGAAACTTGACTGGTGGGGCAGTGGGGATATCATGACACCCTGGGCTTGAGCCAATCAAGACGCTAGAGACATCCACTCTCGAATTTCTTCAGCTCGCAAACCACTATCAACGTTTAACGTCGTAACCAGACACCACCAAATACAACACTACCGCAATCATGTCAAAGGGTCGAGGCGCCGTCGATCAGATCGTGAAGCTGATTGTGGGAGCTGGGCAGGCTAGCCCTAGCCCTCCTGTTGGTCCTGCTCTCGGTTCCAAGGGTGTGAAGTCTATGGACTTTTGCAAGGTCAGTCTTATATGAGCTCAGATGTCAATCATTTGCTAACTTGCGCTCAGGAATTCAACGCACGAACTGCACATATTATCACCGGAACACCAATGCCTTGCCGAGTTACCGTCCGCGCTGATCGATCATTTACCTTTGACGTCCGAACACCGCACACCTCATGGCTTCTCCTCAACGCCGTCGAAGCTCCCATGGGAAAGAAGGGCAAGCGAAAGGGTGTCAGCAAACCCGGACATGAGACTGTCGGCACTCTATCCCTCAAGCACATCTACGAGATTGCAAAGATCAAGCAGACTGAGCTGCGACTTTCAGGTCTACCTCTAGAGGGACTATGTAGATCGGTCATTTATCAAGCGAAGACGATGGGAATTGAAGTGGTGGCTTAAGGTACGAGTACGAAATGAAAATAAAAGACCACGGAATGTGGTGTGTACGAAGATCTCCAACCAGATATTATACTTGTACAACAGTTTATGGACAGGGAGTTGGGCCTCCGACTAGAGGAAGAATTGTATGATGCATATATTCAGCGTTCAAAAGGCGAGATACTGGTAATTCTTTTACTATGGTGTGTGTCGGGCAGGCCGATCTTATGCCAGGCTTATTTCGATGCCACTGATACGAGAAGATAGGCATGGACGTGGTTCAGCCCTTGATGGCTAAGCGAGTGATTACAGATGGTACTTTGCCGAGTTCATTAGGCAAGACATCTATATGAAATTGACCCGGACCTTCACAAATCGCAAATAGCCAAGACCTCACGTGCCTTTATTATTAGTACGTGGGTAGGCACTTATCCAGGAAATACTCATGATCCACCATACGCGTGGCTTGCATCAAGTCTCGTATCCCATTGAAATCCATGTAGTCATGTGGAATACATATGACTGTGTCTCATGTACGATGTATCTCAGATCATGATTGTATGGGCGTCAAACTGTGATTGAAACCATTGGTTCATATGCTGTGTCGTCGATGCTTGTCAATACCTTATGTATATGCCACGCTCAATTGTATCTACTGAGTCGCTGGAGGGCTACCCAGATAATAATTAGACAAGTTTAGGATATGTTTAGGTTAATATCATCCTAAATTTAGCAGACTCTTGAAATAATGGATTCTAGTCTTCTAACGATTCAGAGTCTTGAGTTCTGACACTCTGAGGACTGGGCAAATGTCCTAGGGATGACTACCTAGTTATATGACACAGGAAAAATGAAACGATTTGATAGGATCCTGACACAACAGAACCTCGAGATCTCAGGGCACAGCGGAAGATCGACGTATTTGACAGATCTTCTGGGGCCAGTTCCTGACGGTAACAGGTGATCACATAAAATGTCTGAAGATCGAGATAACTTTATGACCCCATTTGTTACTTAACATTTATGGAAAGGGTCGACTTCCATTGCCACTGAAACCACTTTAGCAAGCCCGGAAATACGCAAGCTTGACATCAACACGTGTAAGGCCAGGCGGCTTGCGTATGGTCCTAAATAAGAATTGAGCTTGACACGGGATTTGTTGCTTACATTGGAATAGCTCAAGGGACAGAAAACATTTTCACTATTCAAATTTGTGGGGTTGATTATTTTGATTATACTTGACTGGTTGTCGATGAAGGGATAAAAAGATTCTTGCAACTTGGAGGCTTGGAGGCGACCGAAACTTGGCCGGGAGCTCCTCTGTGACTGGGCTGAGTCGGGCTTGGACTTGGCTTTATGTTACGTATCAAGACTTGAAGGGGTAAAAAAATCCTCGTCTTCCATGTTTCTCGAAGCAGGTGATACTTGACATTGTCACACATTGTGTCTCACACGTTTTCTTGGTTGAGGCTTACTGACACATGGGTCACTTACACAAAAGCCGCGGCACCGTAACGGAGTTTACACTTACATACAGTAGCTCAAGTAACGTTAGATATCACCCATGTCGGAGCTTTTAACGTTAATCGTATTGCTTCACGACACCGCTATATCAATCAAGCTTGTAAATATACTTTGGTTACGTCGACTGGGGAACGAAGCTGAGCGAGAGCCTAAATCGGGTCAGATCGTTGAGTTTGACAGGGGGCCATATTCACGGATCTCGAACTGTTTGCGTGAAGTATCCGTAGACTTCACATCAACATCGGAGAACTAACCGTCTTCCCGATCTCTGCATCGTTAGTGCACATGCTATGGATGTATGGCTGTTGGTGGCACCCTCAGTGTAAAAGGAGTTGAGTCATAGGGACAAGAAGGTTTGCCAACCCAACGAGGAAATTGTTTTGCAACCCAATGCAATGCAATTGTAATTGTCCGTGGGCATTGGACTGCTCCCATTATTCATACTCATATGTTGAATTTTTCTCGTGACAAGGAGCCCTGTCTAGTGATGCGCCAGGGCCATGAGATCAGGGAGAGCTTCGTGAGTCGAGGTACATGATACTTGCTGCTTACTATGCCACTTCAGTCAAGCTATCAGCAGTAAAGATAAGTTAAGAGCTGACGATAGGGGGGACTTCTGTTGGGAAAAGTGATCAGACGAACACGGCGTACACGTTGACTCATGATCAACACGGACTCATCTTCAACTCAAATATTCGCATATGTCCGAACAAGCCTCAACTTCTGAACCCCCGGGCCGTCGTCTGGACTGTACCTGAGGGAATCACCAGCTGCCAGGAAAACAGTTTTTTAGCGCACATCTAGCGTGTTTCTAGCACCCGCATTGCCGTAGAAGGACCTCCTAAATGCTCACTATTGCCCGTAGCCCTGCCCAGCAAAAAGGGAAGAGAACCACTCGGACTGGGCTGTGATCAAAAGGTGGGAGAGGAGGAAACAAAGTGGAGCCCCCCACTACCTAGGTACGTAGTAAGGTGAGTGCGGGCCCATGGTCGTCCTCTTTTATCATCGTCGTCGCAACTCTTAGTCTGCTCAGTCTCGCTTCTTCTTACCACCCTCATCCTACTACTACCTTGGCTGCTTTTTGGTTACTTTGCTCATATCCCATCAAAGCATCCATTTCTACTCCGATGAGTTCTTCAAATCCTCCCCAGGAGCTTCCTCGCTCCCAGGGCGTCTCTGGTAATTTCTATCTTCCGGTTCTGCCGAGCCTATTCTGCCCCACCTTGATCTTCTGCTCGGCGTGCACTGAAGCACTGCGAAACGATGGTTGTAGTACAATCGCTAACCGTGGATACGATAGAAGCTTCGGAGCCTGTTACAAAACCTCAAGAGTCAATTGGAGATAAGGACGATGTATCCGAAGATGCCTCCGGCGTTCGCTTCTCATCCGCCGTCCAGGAGATATCACCAACCCAACCCGCCACCGTTGACCCGTCATCGTCGAACCCAGAGCATGAAGAGCACGATCAGTCAAGTCCTTTCACCGAAGTTACTGCCGATCAACTCAAAGCGTTCACCAAGTCTCTCCACGGCCGGCCGTTACAAGAATTGCGCTTGAACAACTGCCAATTTGAAGCCTTTTCGCTCCCACCCTCCCGAGTATGACCCCCTTTTTGTGTATTTACGCTTTGCCAGCTTTTGTAAAATGCTCGCGTCCAAATTCCACTCTAATTGCTACCGGTAATTTGATTGTGGTATTTGAGCTTCGCGACGTTATGTCACTGCGTTGCCATAATTGAAGGTTTTGTGACTAACGCTAACTGATGTCATTGTAGGTCCCATCGCATGAGGATGAATCCGGACAGTCTACCAGATTGCCCACACCCACCTCTGCCACCTTCCAATCCCCGCATACCAGTCCTCAGGTCTCTACGCTGGCTTCCCCTCCTCTAACCCCCGCGGGATCCGGTCAGGCTAGTTCGGATAAGAAGGGTAAGGAAGTGGCCAAGACGAATGAACCCCCGGTTATCACCCCACAGGCATCGTCATCTCATGAAAAGGCTTCACCAGCTCCCGATAGAAGACCTTCAGCTGCTCGAGCTGCTTCCGATCATGCGGTCCGTAGGGCTTCCTCCGCTGAAGAGCAGCACCAGTCCCATCGTCGAGGCATGTTTGGAGTAGGACCCGGTTCTGTACCAGCTTCTAGAGAATCTAGTCCATCCCGAAGCTCAGCGTCAAACTTCTACTCTAAGCCGTTTACTCCTGGTGGTGATATCAACGATCCCTACGCCAAAGGCCGACGACCTGCACCGGCGGCACATACAACGAAGCACACAATCGACCCGAGGTTTATCTTCTCTCGTAAGAAGAAGCATGGCTCTCCTCATGGGTCCAAGTCAAATCTGAATGAGAAGCGCGGATCGTCGATCTTTGGTAGTGCAAGGAACAGTAGTGAAGAGCTTGCACCGAATGATAGCATCTCGACTGGCAACCTTCACCCCGGACACGGCTCAATGGCAGATTTAAAACGGTTTTTCCGTAAGGGCGGACATCACCACAAGAAGAGAGAGTCGTCACCAGCACCATCGATCAAGCTCGGTATGAAAGCTACAGCTTCCAAATCGACCCAGCAATTGCCGTTTGGGGATGATCATGGGTTGTCTTCCAAGTACGGCAAGCTCGGCAAATTTCTGGGCTCCGGTGCGGGTGGCTCGGTGAGACTGATGAAGCGCAAGGACGACGGCACCGTTTTTGCAGTCAAGGAGTTCCGTGCAAGACACACCTACGAAACCGAAAAAGAGTACAACAAGAAAGTAACAGCCGAGTTTTGCGTTGGATCGACCCTTCACCATGGCAATATCATCGAAACGCTGGATATTCTTCAAGAAAAGGGGCGTTGGTATGAAGTGATGGAATATGCGCCATTTGACCTCTTTGCAATCGTTATGACCGGTCGGATGTCACGGGAAGAGATAACGTGCTGCTTCCTGCAAATCCTCAATGGCGTGACTTATTTGCATAGCGTGGGCCTTGCCCACCGCGATCTGAAGCTGGATAATGTGGTGGTGAGCGACAAGGGTATCATGAAGATCATCGATTTTGGCAGTGCTCACGTCTTCAAATATCCATTTGAGACCGACACTGTGCCCGCAAAAGGTAGATTTCTTCACCAACATGGTGTGAGGACATTGGCTAACTGGTGTCAGGTATTGTCGGCTCTGACCCTTATCTCGCACCCGAGGTTTACGACTCTAAGGAGTACGACGCAGTAGCTGTGGATATCTGGTCTTTGGCCATCATTTTCTGCTGCATGACTCTTCGACGTTTCCCGTGGAAGGTCCCACGAATGACAGACAACTCCTTCAAGTTGTTCGCGGCGGACCCAACTCCAGGACACGACCCTAGGAAGCTAATTGTTCCCTCAAAGTCTACGAATGATTTGACCACCACGCCAGCGCGAGACTTTTTGGCTGAGGATGAGACTAAGAGACATACTCATCATGAGCAAAAAGAAGAGGCAACCTCAAAAGAGGCCAGCTCCACCACCGACTCAAAGG